AAACACACACACACACAAACACACACACACAAACACACACACAAACACACACACACACACAAACACACACACAAACACACACAGAAACACACACACACACAAACACACACACAAACACACAACCACACAAACAGACACAAACACACACACACAACCACACACACAACCCCACACACAACCACACACAACCACACACAACCACACTCAAACACACACAAACACACACAAACACACACAAACACACACACACACAAACACACGCAAACACACACACAAACACACACAAACACACACAAACACACACACAAGCACACACACACAAACACACACACAAACACACACACACAAACACACACAAACAAACACACAAACACACACACAAAAACAAAAAACACACACAAACACACACACACACAAACACACACACACACACAAACACACAAACACACACACAAACACACACACACACACACAGCAACACAGCAACACACAACACAACACAACGCAACACAACACAACACAACGCAACGTAACGCAACGCAACGCAACGCAACGCAACGCAAAGCAACGCAACACAACACAACACAAACCACAACACAACCCACCAACACACACAAACAGGAAACGCAAGCGCGCACCCGCCAAGCGCCAAACACACACACACACATTCAATACAACACAACACGCGCACACGCACACACACAGCGTGTGTCTGTGATTTTGTGGTGCTTGTGTTTGCGTGTCTCTGCGTCTGTGTTTTGTGTGTGTGTCTGTTCTTCTGTGTTTTGTGCGTGGTTCGTTTTGTGCGTGGTTCATTTTGTGCGGTGTTTTGCGTTGTTGCGTTGTTGCGTGTTTGTGTGTGTGTGCACACACACCAGCGCACAAACACACTCAAACACACAAATCGATAAAGACAAACACACACACACAAAAGCACAAACACAAACACACAACACACACCATATCACATACAAGAACACGCCGCACCCTTGACCACACACACACAGCACCCAGCACAGAACACAGAGCACACACAACGTACACACACAAACCGCGACCCCCCCCCCTCCCACCCACCCACCCATTCACCCACCCACCCACCCACCCACGCACACACACACACATGCCACACGCGCGCAAAATACACAGACGCGCACACACACACACACACCCACGCACACCACAGAACACACACACCACACAACACGCAACACAAGCACCACACCAGACACCACCACCCAACACTACTGACCACAGACACCACACAGACACAACACGTGCAAGGCACACAACGAACAAAACAAACCTACACCACAACAAATTACCACACAGCGGGCTTGGATAGCACCTGATACAACACAAAACACACGACGCAGGCTAAACAGTACACACCATGCAACACCACACACACAGTGCACACCACGCAAACACGCGACCCACAACGCACAGCGCACAGCGCACAAGGCGCAACACCCAGCACCCAGCACACAACGCATAACACAGAACATGCGCAACACAACACAACACAACACCACACCGCAACACAACACAACGCCACACCCCGCCCCGCTGCACAACACAACAGAACACAAAAGCACACAACGCAACACAACACAACAGAACACAACACAACACAACACAACAGAACACAACAGAGCACAAGGCAACACACCACAACAGAACAGAACAGAACAGATCTGAACAGAACAGAACAGAACTGAGCAGAACAGAACAGAACACAACACACCACAACACGACACAGCGCAACACCACACACACAACACAAGACACAAGACACAAGGCGCAACGCAACAAGGCACAAGGCACAAGGCACGAGGAAGGCACAAGGCGCAAGGCGCAAGGCGCAAGGCGCAAGGCGCAAGACACAAGGCACAAGGCACAAGGCGCAAGGCGCAAGGCGCAAGGCGCAAGGCGCAAGGCGCAAGGCGCAAGGCACAAGGCGCAAGACACAAGGCGCAAGGCGCAAGGCGCAAGGCACAAGGCACAAGGCACAAGGCAGAAAGCACAAGGCACAAGGCACAAGGCAGAAGGCAGAAGGCACAAGGCACAAGGCGCAAGGCAGAAGGCACAAGGCACAAGGCGCAAGGCGCAAGGCACAAGGCGCAAGGCGCAAGGCGCAAGGCGCAAGGCACAAGGCACAAGGCACAAGGCACAAGGCACCAGGCACAAGGCACAAGGCGCAAAGCACAAGGCACAAGGCACAAGGCACAAGGCGCAACGCACAAGGCACAAGGCACCAGGCACCAGGCGCCAGGCACAAGGACAACATGTAATACACGGCACAACACACACACACACTCCCATGCATGCACGCACCCGCCCAGCCAACTAGCCGCTGCATCCTACATGCCGCCAAATATCAGTGGAGCGACTTCAGGCACACTTGCTTCCCGTGGCGGGTCTACTGGATGCTACGGTGCCCATTCTGGAAGCTCAGGTGCGGAATGTTTGGGTCATCAAAGATGGGTGCACCTCGTTCTGATGGTACCCGTCTTGGTTTGGTTTAAGGCACACCGAAAGGGAACCGGCATATTTTTGGGCTCCATTCTCCCAATTTGAGACACCTCGAGCTTTTCTGGATGTGTCTTGTCCCTTTCCAGCCTCAGAACTTGCCATTTCCTTTCAGCGTGTCCCGCCTTTGGAGTCGCGCTTTGGCCTTTCCAGGTGGAGAAGCACGAGATCTCCAACTCTGAAGAAGCAAAGGAGCTTCTCCCCAGGTGGGATCGGGTAGTGAAGAGATTTTCCCTTTGCTTCAGTGAGATTGCCTTTGACTATCCTTTGCCTTCACCAGGTGCATCTTGGGGTTGATGCCTCCTCCTCATGCATTCCAAATGAGGCTGATGGCAGCGCAGTAATCTACAGCGTGCCGGAATGCAGTGCTCTGAACAGGCACTTGCAGCGCTGTGCGGCCACGCATGTGGCGTGTGAGGCAGCCCTTGGTAGCAACTCATGCACGGCATGCGTCCTCCTGCGCAGCACCTCCTTGCGGCCTCCGTTGGCGATGGACCATACTCTCCGCTCTGGGAGGTGGAGGAGTGGACATCGCGACCGTTTGTTTTGGCTTCGCCCGAGATGTTTGTTTGAATCCCCAGGAGACGACTCCAAACGCCTCGCAGGCAAGCTTTGCATCCCTTGAAATTGTCAAAACTTGGCTTTGAAAGACAGCAGGCCAGCCGAGGACGAGGACAAGAAACCAAGCCCTGTCCTTAGAACGCTTGAGGGACCGACCAACATCTGCAGCCCACTGCACGAGGTCTGAGTCCCAAAAAGCCCGCAGAGAGCTAGCTCCCCAGCATACCAGGAAAGCAAGGAGTTGAAAGATGTGGGGAGTGGTCGAAACTGGCGAGCCATATTGACCACTCCCCATGTGGCTGTGGGTCACAACCAATGGTACCATTTTGGGGTAGCTGCACCACTCATTTTAGTCTATTTTAGTGGGGATTGGGATGTTCACTGGGGGTACGGGATTTTGACCCATGGCCATGTGCGAACCCAGAAAGTCACAGGCGCAGTGGCAGCAGAGCACGAAGCAGCAGTCGCTCGAGAGGCCTCCCGAGCCTGGGTCCCGGTGCACTTCCGCTTAGCGCGCTGCGAGGTGCAAAGGCGTTGTCTGCCAAAGGCACTCGCCTCGGCATGCGAATTTGAGCTGGAACCACCAAAAGTGGTTGGACCTTTGAATCCCCAGAAACTGTCCACCAAAGGTTCCGGGGCTTGAAATTCATGCCCCACATCTTGGTGAAGAGGGTCGTTCTGGAGCCAGGCCCAGTCACTCCCAACGGATGTGTGGCTGCCTCGGTGCTGCGCAAACGCAGCGCGTGGGTCGCGTTGACGGGAGCTCTTCAGGATGACGGGGAGCAGGCCGCGAGGGCCGAGAGGGATGTGAGTTTTCAGGTGAGCCACGTGCTCAAAACCGATTGGGGTAGATGAAGGTTAAGGGCCCTCATTTGACCACATGACTTCAGTCGGCGATGCCTGGTTGCTGAAGCTTCCGGTCTGATCCATTGACAAACAGGAGCTTCTCTTAGCCCAGACCCAGCCTTTGTTCGGGAGATGCCACACCAATCTTCGGTTCTGGAGGACCTGAAGTTGGAAACGCCCCGGTTGACCATTCTGCGCCAAGGGAGGGTCTGGCTGTGCTACAAGTGGTCTGTGCCACCAGTGCTCTGCTGGTTTGCACGTGAGACAGGCGGCGGCAAGTGCCACTTAGACTCCTTGGGAGAGAGGCAGGAGACACAGGAGACAAGTCAAAATCAAACATCGCAACTCTCTGGATACGGATGCCCAGAATATTATACCTAGTAAATCAACCGCACCGGTCCTCGTTCCCTCACTTGCAATACTCCGGCCATATCAATGCATCTAATCGCGCTTCGAGTCCAGACTTTGTGTCATCGGCTTCCACCACCCGTACAATGACTGTCTTTGAGCACGTCTTGGCATCACATCGGATTCCAACTTTGGCTGTTTGATGCGACTCGTGTTGTCATTTGAGAAGAGCGAACGCACCTGCAGCTGCTACATGCTCAAACTGAAAAGAAAAGATCACTCCACGCCACGACATCTTTGCTTTCCTACCTAAATCACGTCAGACTTGCTTTTTCTCCTAACATGCAATTCAGATGGAAGCTGTGCGAAGACTCAGCACATGTGCATTGTAGCTTACTGCCGAGCCATTTAAAGACGTGACGCTTCGTGCAGGCTGGAACGTGACAACACTCTCAGCCTGTTTTGGTTTGAAGATTCCATATGGGTGTGTCTCTTTTCGTGTGTAATCTTTTCGGGTTGGTTTCATGGGAAACCAAATGGACACCTACATTATATATATATATATTTATACACATTTTTTGTTTTTTTTTTGTTTTTTTTTTTTTTGCGGGGGGTTCCCTAAAACAGAACCACATCCATAGGACTTTCCCCGCATACCGAGGCCATTGGTGGCAATGGGCTGCAAAGGGTCCAAGAGACCCGCCGGTCCCCGGCCAGAAGGTGCCGGCCAGGTTGGACAGGGGACCTCCCAAAGCACGGCCCAAGGCTCAGCGTTCGTTCGGCTTCGGCTTTTGCGCTGGGGCGACGCTCTTTTCGGTGCTCAAAGGAAAGCCGAGAGGACATATGCACATGTACTTTTTGAGCAAGGGCCTGGGTGTGTGTCAAAATGGGGATTTGACCCCCCCCCCCCCCCCCCGGAATTTTCTGCTGGATTTTCCTTTACACCGACACGGAAAAGTGTACCCTTCGCCTCACATGACCACAAGCACAGATCGATTGAGGTGGCCACTGAAGCTGACAAGGCCGCCGTAGATGGGAAGTTTGCCGCCAATGTCGCGCCCTCAGCATAGGGTCAAGGCTGAGTCTTAGGGTTTCTTACGGACATCCAATATTGGGTTGGTGTCCGCTGGTTCCCTTCAAGCTGTATCCTCCAACAAAGACATACCCAGACTTGCAGGTCACTCATCGCTGTCGTGTTTGGAAGGAATCAATAGTTGGTGGGGTCAGTGTTGGTGCAGCCTCAACAAGTCACTTTGGGTTTCAAACCGCTTTGAAACTCAAAACGGTTTGAAGCGTTTGATTGGCGTGCAAAGCAAGCACGCAAGCGTTGAAGCAAGAATTGTTTTTGACCTTCAAACAAGATACCACTTCCAGTAGGCATATGAGTTTCGAAGCAGTGTGCGACGGCTGTGCTTGAATCCGACGGGAGCTGGGCGAGAGTCGTCCACATGCAAGCTTGTTTTTTGGCACAACACCTTACCATGCCTTGGCAATTTGTTTTGTTCAGCAACCCATGGCTCCAGGAAACAGTTTGTTTCAGCTGAAGACTAGGGTTATCAGGTGCCACAACCCTTCGGAAGCTTTGTCTCAAGGCCTGGTAAACTTTTGCTGGCAATCTTTGTTGCGAGTTTCACAGGAAAACCACATTTGCAGGTGGGACGGATTGTTTCGAACACGCACGGAACGGCCATCATGTGGTGGAAGTTTTGTTGGCAGCTGAAGCCCACATTGTGGCGGAAACAACGTGCTTTTTCTCTTCTTTCATTCGACAAACGTTCCCGCTTCGTGCACAGTAACCCCACTTCACAGCTGAAGGAGAACTCAGTTTCCAAGAAACTTGGTTTCCAGCCTCAAAGCAAAGGCTTTGCACGGCAAGTCCAGTCCAACAGACTAACCTGGAATTGCTCGAGAAATGGTTTGTACCATGCGAAGACATGATCAAGCGCCAGCGGCCGTGTGTTTGATCATTCAAATTGCCCGTCCAGGCATACTTCAAAGGTGGTAGCACCTGACCCCTGGAACAGACCCCTCAAGGATCTTCTTTGGGCTTTGTTCCGTTTGGTCGAATCAGTCGAGTCGGTGGGGGAAGGCTCGAATTGGAGAAGCCGAATTGGCTTGACAGCAAGCTGAGGCCAAGCCGGCACTGACGGCAGCTGCCCCGATCCGATCCGCGCGAGGCGGGGCGATCCGCTGAGCCGCTCGATGTCGAGCACGGAGAAACTGCGGGCCCAGGCGTGTCAGAAGTGAAGACTTATTCCGCGGAGCAGCAGGTCGCGCTTGAACGACCTTTTTTTGGAGTGGGAGCCGGCAGACCTGCCATTGCCTGATGGCCAGGCAGCTGCAGGCAAGATTGGCGCTGCTGTCAGGGGCAGTGCCACCCGCTGGGAGGTGCGGACATGACGCCATGACTCCATGACTCAAGGGGAGAAGCGCAAAGGTGAAGCAAGAGTACCACGAGATCCGACGCCGTCCGGAGGCGGGCGTGAGTTGGGCGGCATGCGTCGAGTCGGATGAAGTTGAATTCCCATGGCGCCAGCGGCAAGTGAATCATGGCAGGGCAGACCGCTTCAGCCCATCGAGCTTGGGTTTGCGGATTATGCAGTTGCCCTAGCTGCTGGATGGTCCATGCTGACACTTGCTGGCAATGCGAGTTGAGCCCTGACAGCCCTGCACGAACGACTGCAGGCGCAAAAGAAGCCGTCGATGCCATCCGTACCAGACCACCTTCGCTTCCGGGTGCGAGACTCAAGCCATTGTACTATTTGGGTGTGTCCTTTTGAAGGGTTCCCATCTTTCCGTGCTTGGGAAGGGAAAAACCCAGAGGGATCTTTTCTTTCCCCCCCCCCCCCTTTTTTTTTTTTCTTTTTCGGCCCTTCTGGGGGCCCCTGTCCGATTCCTAAAGACTTTCGAGCCACCAAACATTTGGAGCGATGTTTCGAGGTGCGGGATGTCACGAAGCAGCGAGTGCTTGCGCAGCTGGGCAACGACGAGGCGGCTTCGGGTGCCTTGAGCGCCGGATGCGCGCAGATGGGTTTCGGCCGGTCAGGGACTGGGTTCATTCAGCACCTTCGAGATGATGGCGGCTCGCCTTTTGGAGAAGGCCGGGAGTTGAGCAGAAACATGAAGGTATGCTTTTCCTGCCGTTTGTGAGAGGTCCAAACTTGAAGGGCCTTGCCATTGCCACCTTTTCTTACTTTCCTTTCCCTCTGTTTGACCTACCAATGAAACGCTGAAGCACATGGCCGTTGGTAACCAATGAGTTCTGATCAGATCCCGGCCACATCTCGGATTTTGGTTTTGGTTTCCAGCAGTGTGTGTCTTCTTTTTAGGCCTGGTATCCGTTTTTGAGGTTGGTTCAAACGGTCGGAAAGCACAAAAGATTAACCTCTTTTTTTGTTGCCAAACCCAACTTGTTAAGCAGCTGCGATTCATTTCCCTTGCAGCGGTTGACTATGGCCACGTCTGTGTGAAGCAGAACAGCAGACTGATGGCAGTACATGTGGCCATGGGTCAAAATCCAAATCGTACCCCCAGTGAACATCAACCAATCCAACCAAAATAGGTCCTAAAATGGGTGGTGAATTCACAAATCCCAACCAACATGGGATCCCAAAACGGTTTTGACAACCACAGCCATCTGTCCCAGCCGCTTTGCTTGCAACTTCCAAAGCCCTAGTTCCTCTGTGCTTCAGACATTCCAGAAGCTGACACTGAGATGGGTATGAATCAAAATTAAACCACCAGGGGACCGCAGGTTTAGTCCATGTGTCAATTTACCAGGGCTCTACTTTAAGTCCCTATTTTTGACCCACAGCCAGATCTGTTGTTCTTGCCTTTTCGGGACGTGGACAAGGGTGCTTTTCTGGAGGTGGCTGCAAGTGGAAAGCTACCGCCAGGAGCTTAGGTGCTTGCTTAGCGCCTCAAGTCTTTGGCCAACCTTGCGGTTTTGTATGGAAAGGGTCAGTCGTGTATCCAGTTCCTAAGTCAGATCACTGTCCAGCAACGAGTTAACTTTTGCTGGGGTCCAAGTCCGGCCCAGCTGCCCGGGATGCCCTCAGGAGCGTTAGAAAGTGAAAAAGCACAGAGTAACAAGCAGGAATGAAGCGCCATGCATGAGTCGAGCATTTTGGAGCTCATTCTGTCAATCAACACCGCTGCAAGGTTGCAAGCGTTCGCGCCTTCTGTTTGTGTCGTGGTGGTTGTTGTTGCTGCTGCTGCTGCTGCTCCTGCTGCGATTGTTGTTCTTCTGCTTCTTCTTTTTCCTCTTCTTCTTGTGGTTATGGTTGGCGTCGTCGACAGGGAGGGCTCTTTGCGAGTCTCGAGGCCCGGCCCCGCCAAGCAGATGGCCTCCACCCACCTCTTCAATGGGGAGGAGGTCAAAGCGGACGCTGAGGACTCCTTGGCCAAACGTCAGGACGGGCGTCCGGTCGCTGGCTGAAAGGACTTACTTGGCGGTTGTCCAAACCGTTTTGGGATCCCATTTTGGTTGGGACTTGTGAATTCACCACCCATTTTAGGACCTATTTTAGTGGTTGGATTGGGATGTTCACTGGGGGTACGGGCTTTTCACCCATGGCCACTTAGGGATGCTAAGGGAAGTGTTTCCCCCGCGCTTTCAGAGGTTCGAGCATGCGGAGTTTTGATGGCACACTTGGACCTGGGCGTTCGGGCTCAGGACACCTACCTGCTCGGCAAGTTCCAAATTGTTGCGGTTCCAGTCGTTGCGGACTACGATGCAGCCTTCGATGTGCTGCAGGCTGCCTCCAGGATCTCCAGGTATGGTGCACAGCTGGGAGTGAGTTGCTCTCCAGGTGGAAAGCAATTCGAAGCAAACTGCGAAGCCGGACGCGCCAAGCCGGGATTGCGATGGTCCTGAGGCGGGGAGAAGCAATTGGGTTCATCCCATGTAATGAGCCGGGCATGTAGCTAGACTCACCCTGGCCAGGGCTTCAACGGCGGCAGTCTCAGGATGGCTGGGTTTTGGGTCTCGATGCACTGCAGCCTCAGGTTGGTTTTGGGTCTTGCACAGCGCCGCGCCCAACATCGGCCACGGCCCCGGGCAACTTTTGGCTTCGGAAACAGGAAGCCACGCCGGCGGTGGTTGTCAAAACCGTTTTGGTTGATCCCATTTTGGTTGGGACTTGTGAATTCACCATCCATTTCAGGACCTATTTTGGTGTTTGGATTGGTTGATGTTCACTGGGGTGTCACCTTGGGCGTTTGACCCATGGCCAGCTCGGCTGCCCGAAAGGCGAGAGTGCGCTTGCGGAAGACTTTCTTTCGTACTCGGTGGAGGAGGCCACCTTTTGCTGCCGGGCTGCCAGCCGAAAAGTTGTGCTCTGAACAGCTAGCTGCAGGTGCAAGACAACGATCGACCTCTCAGGACACGGCCTGCGGTGCGTGCGGTGCGGTGTGTCCATTTGAACAATTGAGCTGTGGGCCTCGCCACTGATTCATTTGGTTGACTTCATTGCCCTGGATCCAGGATAGACTCGGTCCAATCACAGGCATCAACGTCCTCCACCTCCAGGTGCTCTCATTCCACAGGCAAAGGCAGAGCCGGAAAGTGGAGTTGTGCTCAGGTGTTGTTGGAAAGATCGACCAATGCGCACTTGTCGACGGCTGAACGAAGCAGCATGCTTAGCTGAAAAGCCAAGTCTTTAGCTATGCTCATTGGCTCATTGCATTCAACTGGCTTTGAGGACCTCTACATCGCAGACATTGCCCGCCTCTGGAGAAATGCTCTTCTTGCGATGAAGATCCTTGAGGCCTCGCACATGTCACACCAACATTGACATGAGCTTGCATGGTTGTCAATCTATTGTTGGTTTCCACATTCCGCCGCAAACTTCGGAGGGCCCGCCGTTTCTCCCGTACTTCGGGGAAACACAGGTGTTTTCCCTCCGAAAATTAATGTGGGTATGGGTCAAAATTAAACCACCAGGAATTGGACCGCGAGTTGAAGTCCATGTTTCCATTCACCAGGATTCCATTTTGGGTACCCATTTTTGACAACCACAGCCATGTGTCGTGAACCCAGAAGGACACCACCCGTCAGGTCGAGGATGCGATCCTGTTTCCCTTCGGTGGCAGTCTCAGAGCAGCAGCATGCGGAGATCGGTTCAGCAAGCGCTCAGGAATGGGCGCGTTCCTCCGGCACTTGAACTTGAACGATGATAGGTACGAGGCCGCGCTTTGAGCTTTGTCATGTTCCTTCCATTTGGCCATGGGTCAAAAGCCAAATCGTACCCCCTGTGAACATCCCAATCCCCACTAAGATAGACTAAAATGGATGGTGCACCTACCCCCAAAATGGTATCCCATTGGTTTTGACCCACAGCCATTTCTGACAAGTAATGAGAGCGTTCGGCTCAGGATCCAGCACGCTTGCATATGTTGAAGCGCCGGATAGCTGTCAGCCCCCCAGATGAGACTTCCATCTTCTTTTTTTTCAGAAGCAGCACGGTGTCGAGCTAGGCCGAGCTGATGAATGCGATCGTCGATATTTGCACTCCGTGCGGAGCCTAAGCCTCCGGCCGGTGCCGGACGGAGCGTTCCGCTGGCCGAATCAGGCCCGGCTCCGGAAAGTCCAAGGCGCTACCTGCCCCGTCGCGGGGTGGTTGGTGGTGGTGGGATGGGGTCGGATGGGGTCGGGTGGGGTCGGGTGGGGTCGGGTGGGGTCGGGTGGGGTCGGGTGGGGGGGGGAGACTCGGTGTTTTTTTTGTCGGAGGCGGTCTCCAAAGCTGGGCCGCAGCGAGTGCACCTGTGCAAGGGCCTTAGCAAGAAAGTCCAACAGCGAGCCAATGGATGCGAGCGAGGTTTGGTCTGTGTGAATCCCGAGAGCATCGATAATCACAACTGTTTCGTTGAGGCGGGGTTCGGGGTTACTGAGCACTGCAAAGGCACTGGTTTGATGTTGTGCTTACCAGGCAGCAGCTGACAAAGCTCAGCAATGCTTGGGGCCCATGAGACTCCCACTCGGGTGGCTTTCGCGGCAGTTGCGTCTTGTTCACATCAGGGAGGGGCTGCTGGCTGCTAGCTATGTCAAGGTTTTTTTGGTTGCGTGTTGCGTGTTCCGTCCACGAGGCCCGCAGCTGAAGAAGATCCTTCAGCTGCGCCAAAATGTGGACTCCCTTCAGCCGGGCCGCCAAAACCCAGTCTGGGGAAGAGCTCTCTTGCGGGGTCCGCGATGGGTCTTCGGACGCGCTTAAGGGTCTGTCCTGTTGCTTTACCCCTGGAGAAAGACACCATTTTGGTGGGATCCGGACATCTGGGAGCTGGACAGGTGAAGTATGAACAAGTCCAGTTTCGTAAGTGGCCATGGCTCAAACTCCAAATCGTACCTTTAGTGAACATCCACCAATCCAACCACTAAACTAGGTTCTAAAATGGGTGGTGAATTCACATCCCAACCAAAACGGTTTTGACGTCACCACAGCCATGTGATTTGCCCCGCAGGCTGGCCCATGAGCTCAGCCACAGAGGTCAGCTCAAGGCCCGGCCTACCGGGTCTCGGGTGGGGGCGTTTTTTTTTTTGGGGTTGACATGTGCTATTTACCATTTGTTTGGTGTTCACGGGAAACCAAAAGGATAACCAAAGGATGACCAACAGGATACATCAAATGGGTATGTGTCAAATTCAGGCACCAAGGAACCGCAGGCTTTAGTCCACGTTTCCTGTTTTTCCAGGGCAACCAAGTTTGGGCACCTATTTTTGACCCTCAGCCACATGGATCTGTTTCTTTTTGGGAGTTGGTCGCCGTCGGTTTGGGGGGTTTTGAAACGAAACCGAAGCGCCAAAAGGGAACTTCCCCAAGGCAATGGTTTGGGGATCGCGTAGGCCTTTTGTGTAGGCTCCCTCGTGTTTGTTGAGCGAAGCATTGCTCGAAGCTGCTTGCATATTTGTCAGGTCACTTCTTCTGACTTCCTTGACCCTTTTTCTACCATTTCTGCGCAGGCTCTGCGTAGCGTTGGCGTTTGTTTAGGCTTTGAGGGCATTTTTCATGCCTAGGCCCTTTTGTAGTAGTCAAACCCTTGCTCATGTGGGGAGCCTCTCAGTTTGACGCTAGTACACTTGTACTGAACAGTTTCGATCCTTGAGCTGGAGCTGCCAAAGTGTGCTTCGCGCACTACACTCGTACTGAACATTGCGCGATTCTCGAGCTGCAGCTGGAGCTGAAAGGTCAAAGTTGTTGCCGCCCTCGGAGTGTTGCAGTTGGCTGCTCGGATAAGATGCCTCGTATGGGTCAAAATTATACCAACAAAGGACCGCAGGTTTTAGTCCTTGGTTCCATGAACCAGGGTTCCATTTTGGGTACCTATTTTTTGACCCACAGCCATATTTCCTGTTTGCCGATGCCTTGAAACAGTGTCTTATCTTTCTCATCTTGTTTATTGTGCCAGCCTTGGGTTCGAGAGCCAAACTGGCTTTGGCTCAACATTTGTTAGGCATGATGTTTTGCACTGTTCTAACCTTGCACTCGCACTCAGTAAAAGCATCGTTCTGTTCTCTCATTTGTTGGATCATGCGATGCATTTGGTTCCACATACATCGTTCTTTTCCACACTCATCGTTCTGTTCCATGGCATAGCTATTTTCCATTTTCCATTTTCGAAGTTCGGTGCACCCGCCGGGGGTCCGCGTTTTGTTTTGTCCCGCTTTTTTTTTTTTTTTAAACTCCCTGTTGGAGGAGAAGTTGAATTTGGGAGCATGGGAACATCGGGCTCCGCGGGCCGAACTCCCCATTCCGTGCTAGCGTTCTCTGTGGCAACAAAAAACGTTCTGTTTGTGCCAGCGTTCTTTTTGGAAAAAATAGACACGTTCTGTTCGGTTTGGCGAGGATTCGAATGTAGACGCCCGTTCCATTTCGGAAGCCTTCGTTTCCAGGGGTGGGTGTTGGCGCTCTGGGGTCACAATGCTGAAGCCTGTCGGGTGGGCCTGGGGCATGGGGTACGGGCTTCTCGGTGTTCGTGAGGCCCCCTTTCGCCCTCGTGGCGAAACGGAAAAAAAAAAACAAAAAAAAAAACACCGCAACATTTGGTGTCCGTTCTTTTGCCTATGTGGCACGGCGAATCGGAAGGGAGAAGGCGACCCTGGAGCCCTGGCTGAGAAGTTCCGCCGGCCTTCGCGGTGGCCGATTCTTGTGGTTGCTCGCTCCGTTGGACCTATGTCCGGCATGCGAAGCAGGTGGCTTTGCTGAACGGCGCCAACAGGAAGCTTTGTGGAAATCACTGGTTTCAGAGTGCCAGCCTCAGATAAGCCTCCTTTTTTTGGGGGGTACCCGTTTGTGGGGTTGGTTTTTATGGGAAACCAAATGAAAAAGGACTAGTTTGGAGGGTCTCCTTAAAAACCCAAAAAAAACAAAGACACCCGAATGTTCATGAGGAATTGTTGAGCCAGTGGGATTTGTTGAAGCTCCAGGTGGCGCGCGGTTTGCCATCGATGAAAACTTGCACCGCCGCTCAGCCACGGCCCCAAGTCTACTGCTGCGCTGCTTGATGTAGTATGGCCGTGGGTCAACACCAATGGTACCATTTTGGGGTAGGCGCACCACCCATTTGTAGTTTATCTTAATGGGGATTGGGATGTTCACTGGGGGTACGGGGTTTTGACCCATAGTAATATGTGCCATGGTCAAATCACCCAGTGAGGTGGGGCAATTGTCTGGCAAAAGAATCATCAACTTGCACCAGCTTTTGTGGGTGTGTGTCAAGTACCAACTCCAAGAACATAATTTACACCACCAGCTGCCGAAAAAGCCGCCAGGCGTCTTTGTCCAGGGCATCTCTTCTGGTGAACTTTGATACCGAGCCCAGGCTCGGGCTCGTTCGCGTGGGTTTCCGAGTCCCGCGCGCGGGGGGCCGAGCCAAGTTCACGCCTCAGGCCAAGGCGGAGCTCGCAGCTGGAAGAGACCATCAGGACGCGGTCTTAGACTTCCCAAGCGGGTGTCATTTGTGTCAAGAAACCTGAGATGATGGCGAAATGATATTTCTTTCCTCTGGGCTTCCCACTGCGCAAAGAGGGCACCAGCCGTTTTTTGGGGCGCACTTCGGGTTTTCCGGCCTTCCGGGCCCTGGCGCTCCGCCTCGCTTTCAGGTTCTTTGGAGGACGTGTGGTGAACCTGGCACAGACCGGGGCAAAGGCCTGAGCGCACAAGGGCTTCGTCAAGAGCATGTGTCACATGCCACACCGGGGCGAAAAAAAAACCATTGGTCTTTTCACCAGTTGTTTCCAAGATGATGCGGGCTTCATGCTTCGTGAGGGGTTTTTGAATCGCTGGCTTTTTGGGTACTTGTTGACCCCATGGCTTTTGCAAAAGTCACAGGTCGCCATACAAGGAGGAGCTTTGTCAGCCGGCCAGGAGAAAGCCACAAATGCGAAGCCGGAGCCCTTGGGCAACGAGAAGGTCGAGCCTAAAGGTGGCAAGGAGAGCTTGCGATGGAAGTTTGGGTTTGTCTCTCGAACATGAACAGCTCCAACTTTTGATGGTTCGAACCCCCCAAAACAGAGAGAGAGAGAGAGAGGGAGGGCACCCACACACAGAGACACGCACCCTGAAGAAGATTGGAGATCCAAGTGAGGACACAGCGGCGCCAGTTGCAAAGGCTGGTCGACGGCAGTTGGGTGGTGCAGTTTCCGTTTCATTCATTTGCGCTTGCTGGGTGACGGAACGTGTGCACAGAGCACCCTGCGCGCTCTGCGCAGGCAAAAGCAAAGAAACCATTTTGCCTCTGCTGTGGTGGCAGCAAGAGTGCACAGAAACCGGCGGCAAAAAAGGCTGGCAAGGACAGTGGCGCAGCTCGCTAGTGAGGAGTGCGGCGGTTGTTATGCTCGCAGGTGCTTCTGCTATATAAATTTATTATGTAAATATATACACACTACTATGTTGACATTGCTACGTCTGTCAGATTGCTGGGCAATGCCGCTACTGTTACTGCCTCTTCACAGGACAAAGATACGGGACCTACGTCAGCATCCGCCTCTGAGTAGAAATTAAAAACTTCAGCGAAGGTCTGTTAATTACATGTCCTGAAGTGGACACGACCCTCCCTTCTCTTTGGTGAATGCAAGAGCGCACACACAAAAACAACAGAAGAAACAGTCTACACTCGAATGGATGCTTTGCTGTTTTCTTTGCAAGCATCGAAAAGGGCGACAGTGGCGCAAAGCGCTTCGCTGCCACGTGGCCATGGGTGAAAAGCCAAATCGAACCCCCAGTGAACATCCCAATCAAGATAACTAAAATGGGTGGTGAATTCACCTACCCCAAAATGGGATGCCATTGGTTTTGACCCACAGCCATGTTGTTTATTAGCAAAGGTCACCGAGGGCTAAGACGCTGGCAAAGCCAACTGGTGACCAGCCAATCTAGAGCTGGAAACCCCACCCTGGTGGCTGATGCATACCCCAGCACCACGGGTGTGTGTTTTTTTTGGGGACACTTTTCCTTTTGGTCTCTCTTAAACACCCTCCAAAAAGGAGTACCTCCAGAAAAATACACCCCCATACTCCTTTTGCAACAGTTGCAACTTGCGCTTTGCCAAAAAGTGCTGACAGAGGCAGAGCATTGCAAGCGATTGGCTTGAGGTTTGGCATTCGGTGCTACTGCATTCAGTTTGCCGCTGTTCTACCTGCAATGCACGTGATTGATATAGAAAGCCGCTAGCCGCCGCAGGTCCAGATATCATTTGCGAGTGATATTCAGAAGCGGAAGACTTGAACTTCCAGGGCTGACGTGGGCGGGAAGCTTGCAGATTCCGACCGCGAGGTCTCATCTTGCACGGGAAAATGCCAGTGACTTCACGCATGCAAGAGGGGCATTTCAAGGGCGCCGCAACTTCGGTGCTTCGCAGTGTGTGCAGCTTCCTTTGCCGGAGCGGCAGTTTTGGCTCGAGACTTTGCCATAGGCAGCACGAGGTGCGTTGGCAGGGCGCTTCGCTTCCGAATGAGACGCCAGGCGGGGCCTGATTTGAGTGATACGTCAAATCCGGGTCAAGTAGGGAGGGACGTTGGGGACTCATATCCCATGTCCTTTGGAGTCACCTCATCTTTTCGACCGTGACTTAGTCCACACTCCGATGAAGCCAACGGGCGGATGCAGTGCCAACTTGGCAGTCTGCAATCTTGAGTGCTTCGCAGGGCTATCGGGGGACACCTTCGGGCGGTCAAAGAAGGCCCGAAGGCATGGCCTGCCCCGTGCCTCGGTGGGACTTTGGCCAAGGTGCACCGGTGCCTTCGCCGCGCTCTTACGCGCGCAGAGCCGTCCAACGCCTCCGGACCGCGCCGCAAAATTCGCGGCGACGTGAGGTTGCTGCTGCGGCTGCGGTTTGCTTGCTCGCCGGAAGGCGGCTTCGGATCCAGCGAAAGCGACCCACTCCGAAGCTACGCTTTCATTTTGCAAGATCGAAGAGTCTTCGACGATCTGTGGGTTTAAAAAAAGAGAAGTGCTTAAGCCTTGATTTTCTTCTCAATGCCGAGCTGTAAAGGCCTTTCATGCTCATCATTCTTGTGCTGATGGGGGGATGGATCCATGTGGGCATGACATGAATTGCCAGCATGGCCGGTTGAGAAACTTTGTTCATGGCATGTGTCAACTCAGTAACTTGGAGGCCGGCAATATTTGCAAGAAGCTTGGTCCGTTGGTGCTGCCTTGTCGGGTCCTTTACAGGACACCTGGATCGCGTGCAGATGGGTATGCATGAATGGCAGGTGGAATCGATGTGTCTCTCCGCCTAACAAGTAAACAACCACCACTTCGCGCGCACTGAGTCTCCAGCCCTTGCCAGCGGTGCAATCTCCCCTAGCAGCGCCGATCATGGAACAGCCGCGCGTGAGGCATTCACTTCCGTGCGAGAGCCCGCGCCTCATTTGCACATTTGCACGCTGGCAAACTCCTCTTTGGCAGAAAAACAAAAAAAAACAAAACACGAGCGGATCCGCGCCAATCCCCGGGAAAATCCGGCGACTCAACATTCGCACGGAGCGCTGGCCTGAAGCCTCTCGTCGGTGCTCTGCTTGCCAAGTGCGCGAACATCTGAGCCACTTGCTGAAAACCCGGCGAGTCAAGGTGAGTAAGGGACAGTCCCAACCACAAAGAGTTGCGACCGCCTTCTTAATTTCTTTACATTGGGTTCTTGGCGGACCACCCTATTACCAGATTTTGAATGTGACTCGTTTGAGCACCGGGCCATGGTACTGCTAGTCTGTGGTCAGTTTGGGCCATGTCTTGTTTGGCAAACTTGCTGGAAACTCGCAGGCGCTGCGCGGCCAACATATCCAGTCTATGTTTCATTCACTCACCAAGTTTCCCCGCACCAGAAGCTGGGGGACTCATTGACTCCTCACTACTTGTTCTATGTCCTTCAAGGTAATCGCATATTTTGATGTTGGCTTGGCTTCCCCGCAAAATTTCGCCACCCTTCATCGATATTTTTCAGGTTGCGTCGGCGAATAAACCTCTGCGTCAGGTCGAGCGGGTCCTGGGTGTCAGGCTGGCGGCAATGCCCAGAGGCTGGCGGTAATGCGCTTTATAGAAATTGGGTGTGTCGTTTTTTGAGAGTGCTGTACCCCTTTGTTGTGCTTGGTCTTTTTCAGGGAAACCAACAGGAAATCCGAAGCCAGTGCCCAGTTGGAAGCACAGATAACCGCAGGTTTCTCGGATCAGCATCCGAAGCAGGCGCAAAGTGCTGGAAGTGACTGACTCGCCAACACGCATGTGCGTTGCAGGCAGGCAGATGCTCCAGATGCATCGCCAGGGCGGCGTGACTCGTTTGGAGCCAGTTTTCCCGTTCATTTTCGAGTTCAGCCCTGTGACTTGTGCGGCTCATCCAAGCTGCTGAGGTGATGCTGCAGCTGTGCTGGCAGCTTCTCTGCTAGTAGGCGCGCATGTACCATGCTTTTCTTCTGCGTGAGAAGGCGAGTCAAAAGGTTAGGGCCCTTCCTTTCTGACTTTTGGATGGACCACACCGAAATCCATGATTCCAAGAGTCCCCTTCCCCTGTCGTTGCTGCGTTTTGTGGCGCTCCAATCAAGCTGCAGGAAGTCCGGCAACTGCCAAGGATGCCGGCGTCCCAAGTTTCACTTTTTCCAAGGCAGCGATGAGTAAAGCAAGCCAGCAATCCCCCGAGGGGGTCATGTTTTTTTTGTTTGAGAGCTGGCCGCCATGGGGCCTGTGTTTTTGCAATTAGGCTTTTTTACACCTTGGCATGAGGGATGGATGCACTTTTACTCGCGCATACTGTGTTTGAGGCCACCCACTGAAGTATTCTCCAAGGATTCCAGCTGTAACGATATTCCCCTGGTAGTATCCTAATATTGCCGTAATATTCCTTTGGCATTTTCTTGGTAAATCCCTAGTATTTGCTCAGTACTCTTCTAATACTCCCTCAATATTCTCCAAGAACTTCCTTGGTGATGCCCTAACATGTTTCCAGTATTCAGTATCCTGTACCCCGCTATTATTCATGTAGTGTTCTCTTAGTATACCCTCTAATCGCCTCAGCGTGCCCTGAGTATCCCCAGAATATTCCCCCAGTATTTTTCTCAGCATTCCCTTTGTGTTCTCCAGTATTCCCTAAATTTGCCCAGTGTTCCTGTAGTATTTTATGGGGATTGCATACCAAGGGGCTAACAGGAAACTACTTGGGGAATAATGGGAGGATACTTTGAGAATGCTTGGGATAGGAGAATACTCAGAGTATGAGGGGTCTTGGTGTGCCCTCTAGCTTCCCTCAATGTTCCCCTTGCATTCCCTTAACCATCCCCAGTTAGCCCTTCAGCATTGCCCTAGTATTTGCCTAGTATTTAGCCATAGTGCTTCCCTAGTATTGGCCTAGCATTCCCCTTCATTCCTCTAATATATCCCTATTCCTTCAGCATTCTCCCACCCCCAGTAATTGTACTGTTCTAGCATCCCTTAACATTGCCCTCGTATTCCTTAGTATATTCTCGGTATACCCCTAAATTTTCCCAGGATTCCCCTAGTATTCTCCTAGCATTCTCCAAGTCTTTCCTTTGTATTCCCCCTGGTATTGTTCCTTGTATTCATTTATTTATCTTAGTATTCCGTTGGCATTCCCTTGCTATTCCGTAAGAAATCCTCTATTATTCCTGTAAAACTTCCCCTAGCATTCCCATATTCCTTTCATATTCTTCTACCCCTAGTGTTCCTCAGCACTTCCCCTGATTCCCCCAGTATTTCCCTCAGTATTTCCCTGCTATGTTCCTGGTATTCACTCTTAGTACTTCCCAAGCATTATTTTTAGTATTCCCCTAGTATCTCCCTATTCCTTCAGCTTTTTTTACCCCTAGTATATGCATTCTGTGAGAATTCCCCTGGTACTGCCCTAGTTTTCCTTAAGATGTATTCTTTGTATACCCCTAGTAGTCTCCCAGTATTCCCATAGTATTCTCCCAGCACTTCCCTTTGTATTCCCCCTGCTATTACCATAATATTTCCCTAGCTCGCTCGATGGCCATCTCAGAGCAGAGTGGGACGACTGAGAGCAAGTCCGGGCTTGCTTTTCGATTCAGAAAATCGGAGCGCAAATGCAGGAATGCCAAAGCCTCGAGGAAACCGAAAAAACACCAAAAGAACCCAAAAAAAACCATCCTGAGGGGGAAATGAAAGGAGGTTGAGTGCCTGAGCTTTTGTCTGCCAGACTGTTTTTTTGTTTTATTGTTTTTTTTGGTTCCTCGAAGAAAACCAAAAAAAGACAAAGAACAACACTGAGGGGGAAATGAAAGGAGATGACTTGGCTGAGCTTTGTCTGCCAGATTGTTGCTCATTTTTTTGGCATCATTTGACGGCTGATTGCAAAAACGCAGGCCCCATGGCGGCCCCTTCTGTTTTTTCAGTGAACCTGGTGTTACAGCTTGACTCCCCACACCCCCACACCCCACACCCCACACCCCACACCCCACACCCCACACCCCACACCCCACACCCCACACCCCACACCCCACACCCCACCCCACCCCACACCCCACACCCCACACCCCACACCCCACACCCCACACCCCACACCCCACACCCCACACCCCCACACCCCACACCCCACACCCCACAATCAGAGACATAGCTAGATACGTAGATAGACAGACAGATAGATAGATAGATAGACAGATAGATAGACAGATAGATACATAGCTAGATACGTAGATAGACAGATGGATAGATAGATAGATAGATTGACAGATAGACACATAGCCAGATACGTAGATAGATAGATAAGCAGACAGATAGATAGACAGATACATAGCTAGATACATAGATATATAAGCAGATACATAGCGAGATACATATATATATATATAATATGTAGACAGATAGATGGATAAACATGCATAGCTAGATGCGTGGATAGATGGGTGGCATGTAGATACATAGCTAGATACATAGATAAATAGATAGATAGACAAATAGATAGATAGACAGATACATACATATAGATAGAGAGATAGATATATTATAGCTGCACTGTTACATAGACACACAGACGTGTCGATGGATATATACATAGATACATAGATACCTACCCTCCTGCCAATTGACATGGAAGGGGGTGCCTGTAAAAGGACATTTGTTTTCGATCACTCTGTCAGGATCCATGTTCATTGGTGGAAGGGTACATATACATATATATAGACACACATCGATACATATATATATATATATATATATCTATATATATATACACAGACACATAGACGCTTAGATGCATAGATACATAGATACGCTGATACATACATAGATACATAGATACATAGACGCATAGCTAGACACATAGATGCATAAACACATAGATACATTCATACAAACAAACATAGATGCATACATAGACATACACATACATTCATATACATGTATTGTCTTACATAGACCTACACGCACATACACGCACATACACATACACATACACAAACACAAACACATACACAAACACATACACATACACAAGCAGATACACATAGACAGACAGAGACAGACAGACAGACAGACAGAGACAGACAGACAGACAGACAGACAGACAGACAGACAGACAGACAGACAGACAGACAGACAGACAGACAGACAGACAGACAGACAGACAGACAGACAGACAGACAGACAGACAGACAGACAGACAGACAGACAGACAGACAGACAGACAGACAGACAGACAGACAGACAGACAGACAGACAGACAGACAGACAGACAGACAGACAGACAGACAGACAGACAGACAGACATGCAGGCAGGCAGGCAGGCAGGCATGCATGCATACATATATGCGTACACTATATCACTGTGGGTCAATGCAATTGTAAGGCAAGTGCAAGCAAGGCGACAGCCTTGATCCATGTGGCGGCTGTAGGAGTCGTGGTGTGACTGGATGGTGGGAGCAAAAGGGGAACACTCTAGCCCACCTCACCGCAAAAAGGTCAATTGGTCAGTGCTGCGTGCAGCACTCACAACCACGCCGGAGTGGATCTCAACATTCCCCCACAGCCACGCCTCACCACAACCTCCCCCCCCCCCCCTCGTGGGGATGCTACCTAAAACAACGGAGCAGGCTCGTGCCTTTCGGCGGAATATGTCGACGTTGCAGGCAACAGCCGAGTTGTTGTTTTATGCTCGGAAGAACACTGGCATCTGTCTTTGGCGGTGAGTCAGTTGGTTGGCAGCTGAAGCAAGGAAGTGCGTGGCAGGCATTGGGCGCAACAGATGCGAAGCCTGGCAAACAGCTTTGGGACCCCCAAAGATGGAGAAAACGTTTTCCTGTTGGTTTCCCCTGAAAACCCCACACGCGTTTTTCACGGGCACGAAAAAGTAAGCCCCAATGGCTATGGCTCACATGGACTTGAACTTGCCATAGCTGTTCCAGTCAGGTCGTGCAGGTACCAGCTCCCGTGCCGCCCAAACCGAGTCTCAAGCTGAGCTGAGTCGGTTGTCTTGCCCTTGACCTCTTTGGGCGGTTAAGGCAAGAATCCTGCCATCTACAACTTGCAGGCTGGGTCCGTCCCACATTTGGGTTCGGTTTTTTTTGGGGAGGGGGCACCCCCGGTTTTGGATGGGTCTCTTCCAGCGGCGCCAAACGGAACCCCCCTCCATTCTCAGGGTTCGATTTTTTGATCTGCTCAGCAATCTCTCGCGTGAGGTGGTCGGCTGGAAGAGAGAGCCTTATGGGAGGATGGCTCTCTACCTGCAGGCCACGCTGCACGGCTTGTGTCTTCTTTTTGCTGGGAGTGGCGTGGGGGTTTTGTGTGCCAGGGTGAGTAGCACCAAGCTAGGCAGTTGTTGATTAAAAAAACCCTTACAATGGTCATTTATCTTTATTCATTTATATACAATGGTAGAATGCCAGGCTGTGACGCAGCGATTTATCCAGGACATGGAAACTGCTCCAGACTCAGAAGTTCACGTCTGCGAGCAGTGCATTGAGCCGCATGCCCAGCAGGAGACACATCTGGACTCTAGATTTTGCTTTTGTGGTGTCATAGGATTCCTCGAAAAATTGCAAGTCACCAGACAAGCGTGTTTTCCCTGTTGGTCTTTCGAGGGAACCATGACCATGGCCCACATAAGGAGGCTTGACCGGAAAAGAAGGATAGTCCTCGTTCTTTGCTGGTACCATTTTGGTGAATCGATTTTCCATAGCATTCGGGTTCCGCTGAGAGCGTCTTCGGCGGCAAGAGCTTCATTCACTGGACCACCGAGCCGGAGTCGGATGATTTCTTCAAGTTCGATGTCGTGGATAGAAGCAACTACAATGAGGCTGTGGCTGGGTGCAGAGCAACTGATCATGTCTTGAGAGAGACACCAACTTGCTTCCGTTTGCTCGCAACTGTGCGGCACAAACACTTGCGTGCATTTGCTTGTAGTCGTGATGTTGCAGGCTGCCAAGTCTGGGCAGATTCTCATTGACAGTGACATGAGCGTGCCCGAGAATGGCCTTGAGGCACATCCGACTTTGTTCTGCAGTTCGCACAGTTTGAGCTGCTGGCACGGACGGAGCATCGCAGGTGTACGTGTACAAAGACAAAGAGGCCGTCTTTCCTGCGCACTTTCAGAGGATCAATAGAAATCCGCTCAGGCCAGAGATGACCTGACGAAGAAGATCTTGGTAGAGGATTGGCTCGCTCCAAGTTGCTTTGCGCTTGAGGTGTGGCAGCTGTCGCGATGCGAAAGACTTGAGAATGAGAGGACCTGGTCATCATTCCCACCGAGTTGCAGGAAGCGGTCAGGGCTGCATTCTCAGCGGAGTCGTTTTGGAGGATTTCTGCAACAACCGCTGGGTGCTTTAGAGGAAGATACATCAAGCATTGCCAGACTCGCGGCCAGGTCATTCAAAAGACCCCGTTCCCGCCATTTGTGGGTGGCGAGGAGACTTTTACCGGTCTTCGCGTAACGGTTGATTGAGTTTTGTTGCTTTTGCATGACAAGCTCGGAGAGAGTATGCAGAGACTTATTATTGGTTTCACAGCCTCAGCTAGACCCGCTTTAGCCAGCTCGAAATTGCGGACCGTCTGTGAAGGACCGTTTGTGAAGTAGTGGTGCCCTGTCAAATTGATCAGTGGAACGACCGTTGAGGGGGACGCTTGAAGGCATCATGGGATCCCTGGATGGTTAGGCAGCTCTGTGCATGCGCGCGGCACATGTAGTCCTTGCTTGGTGAAAGCCAACTTTGGCTCCATCACAATCAGCGCAGCTCATGCAATGAGCATCTTGCAGCGCCTGACACTGCGAGGATCAAACAAACACACACACACACACACACAGCTGCATATTTTTTTCAGATTTTTCATTCTTTGAGCCTTTTGACTGGGAGCGTCGCTACCCCACATTTTGCAACCATGCCTGGCCCTGTCGCTCAAGGCTTGAAGCGAAGCCGAAGCGTTCGTCCATTGGTTCTCCTGCGTTGGCCGAGGTGATGGTGCCGGCATTGTGGCACCGATGATGCTCCTAGATAGGCGGAGCGAGCAGTTGAGTGACTCGCCGCTCCAAAAGTTGCCCTTGTGCTCCCGGCGAGCGGCAAGCCGCAGGCTCTGTTCCAACTACAAGGCCCACATGGCCCAGCTTGAAAAGGCGGGAATGCTCGCATGGAAGGCTCGTGTTGAAACAAAGGCACTCCTGACCCATGCGATCTCGGGCCTGTACAGTGCAGGAGAAGCAGCAGATCTTTGAGAATAAGATTCGCTTCGCACGCAGAGATGCCGCGCACTTATGCTTTCACTTCCATTTGGGTATGGATCAGAATTAAACCACCAGGATTTGGATCGCTGGTTTTAGTCAGCTTGTTTCCATGTGCCGAAGGGGCAAGCCATTTTGGGGTTAATGTCGACCCAGGATTAATAAACCCGTCCCAGTATTGGGGGGGTGTTCCCTCCAAAAGTGGTCTGAACCCCGACTGAAAGGGGACACCCCCCGATCAAAATCAACCAGGGTTTTTGCCTAATCCGGGGTTAACACTACCCAATTTCTGACCTTCGCAGCCATGTGATTTGACTTGAAGTGGCAAGCTGCTCAGGCCACGACTCAGCTTCTCTTCGGCGTGTGCGATAAGCTTTTGAGGGACCTGGGCGAAAGTGTCAGATGCAGACATTTTGGGGTTGGCACCACTTTTTTGTGGTTGAAAATGGGAAACGGCAAGGACAACCAGGTCTATTTATTTATGTTTTTGTTTGGGGAGCACCAAATTGCATGCTTTTCGCTGTTCACGTAGCGTTGCAGGACAAGGCCGCCCTTGAGGAGCACCGATTCGAGGAGAACTTGAGACCGAGAGAGCCAGATTTGGGCGGCTCGTCCTTTTTTTTGAGGGTGCTCATGTTGGGGCCATTTCAGACACGGCCAAAGAGAAACTATCCATTCTTGCTGTCCCCTCGTTTTGAGAGAGAGCCCTTTGATTCGTTTTAAAGGACCACCAAAGAAAAACCACCTATTTTCGAGGTCCCTTCGTTTTGAGAGAGCCATAAAATCCCAGGAGCACACCGCAGAGCCACACGTGCTCTTCAATCGTCTCGGTGTGGACTTCCCGCGACGGACCTCAGAAAAGGCCGCTGTGAGAGCCATGGTGGAGTCTGGAAGAAGGGAAGACGTGCGTCCCTGGAAGAAAACCGTTGAGGGATTCTCAAGAATACTTCGAGGTGGTTTCGCTTTGAACTACCATTTAGAGGATATTTTGAGGATGCCACTTTGAGGTGGTTTCCCTTTAAACCACCACTCACAGGGTGATATTGAGGATGCCACTTGGATCCAGAAAACGGGGCGCCAACTACTTGCTTCTCTGTGAAATGACATTCGCATTGCAGACGACCGGATTGCTGATGGGTCTCCCGCGAAGACTCTCAGGCGCGCTCTTCTTTGTTTTGCGTTTCTTCTCCATGTTCCAACGGTAGGCGTGCACCAGCGAGTTCTCAGGAGGCGCCTGATGCAATGAGCCCAACGCCCATGGGTTTGGGAAACAGGGAACCAGCCATAGATCCCGGCCAATGCAGTGGGTTTTGTCTCCCCCCAGTAGACTAGAGCTTTGGGGAGAAAGGGCCCCAGCGCCGGCGTGTTTTTCTTGAAGGTAGAAGAAACACCATTTTGGCGGGTTCCCCTATTTTGAGACTGAAGACTGATGGACAAATCCACAATGCAACGGAGGTCTTCGCTGCGGTCCATCTTCGGGCCGTGCTTTGGACGCCCCACGGCTCGGGTCCCGTCCATGCGCGTCGCGGGGGGTGGACGCCCAAAATGGGGTTGTCGTCCTTCTTGAGGCGAAGGGCGGAGGGTACCCCCTTTCTTTTGTAGAGTTTGAAAGGAAACCAAAGGGAAGACCGTTTTTTTTTTTGGGGGGGGGTCGAATTGATTCCCAAAAAGCGGCGAGCCGCCCACATGTTTTTGTTGCCAAGCGATGGGCCAAGGCCAGGTCCCACACCTTGCACATGTGCTCAACGCAATTCGAGATGGCATCCGAGGGCGGAGAATTCCCGCAGAATCTGAGGGGCTGGTCCAGAGCTCTGACAGCCAGCAGCTGCTTGCGGTCGATGGATTTTGTAGCTGGATGTAATAACTGGCTCAGGCAGGAAGCTCAAACCGTGTTCAACCCCACGTTCGAGGCGGAAATCGGGGAGATGTTTGCAATGAATGAAATCGCTTGAGCGGCGTTGGCGCGGGGACCTGTTAAAAATAGTTATGGATGCCTCTTTGTCAACAACTATGAATTTGCTTTGCAGCGCAAGGTCTTGCGGGACAGATCCTTTGCGAATGTTCCTGCCACAGAACTGGCACGCGCCTTACCCGGCGTCAGTTCTGGCCGAGCAAATGCTGGAAGACCACCACGTGGCAAATTTGTCGTCAAGCACTGGCTTTGGGCGCAGAATGTTTGGGGTAGATGTCTCCGGTTGCACCCAAGAAGCATGGGTATGGGTCAAAATTGAACCACGAAGCCGCAGGTTTCAGCGCATGTTTCCATTTATCAGGGCAAGCCATTTGGGTACCGATCCGTGACCAGCCCTCGTCGCGTTTTCTACGCAGAGCGTCGGGGACATCGTCTACTTGCAACGCGGTCATCGAGCGCCCTGCGACCTGAGAGTTCTCATATCATCCGAGGCCAGGTACCTGCTCATCTGTTCAAATGGATGCCTGTTGGACTCGAGAAACAAAACGAACGAGAAAAAACAACCTCCAAATGTGGTGCATGTGTTTTGTTCCCCCATTTTGGTTTCCCTTTAGACCAAGGTGAAAAGGTAGCCTGAACAGACATCACACTCAAATCCTTTCACTGGCACAGCAGCCCAAGGACACGCAAATCGACGCTTCTTCTGTCAGCATGACTCCGTGCGATGCCACAAGCCTAGATGGAAGTTGCGTTCTAGCAGAGCTTACCTCTTTTGTTTGGGTTGATTCTTGGGGACTCCAGTGGGACTTGTTTGCAGTGCTCGCAACGAGGTCAGGCATTGCACGACTCATTGCACAGCCCTGGCACCTTGGCACACAGGGGGCCCTTGGGGCCAGCACTGTCTCTGGGGTCCCGCGGGTTCTGAGGATCCAAAGGCGTCCAGCAACATCGTCCTCAAGGCGTTTGGGGCCTGGACGCAGGCAACAAAAATTTCTGCGACCTGTCCAGGGCAGCTGGGTCCTTCAGGGCTCCCTGCTGGGAATTGTTCTCCGACCCTCACAGGAGCCAAAAACGCGAAAAGGAATCTGAGCCCGAGTCAGTGAGTCGCAGGATCCACATGCCCCAGGTGCCGCCAAAGAGGCGACGCTTCCGCATGTTTGTTTTCCTCCTTGTTTTTCGTTCGCCGGTCGATGGATTTTCCCTTTGCCAGGAGGCTGACTTCGTGTTGGACACCTCTGTGCCGACCTGCGCTCAAAAAAGGGACCGTCAAGATGGCGCCAGCGCGCGCGCCAGCACTGAGGCTTGGCATGCGGCAGGCCAAGTGCCAAAGTACCTATGCCACTCTAAGCTGGCGCCTCAGTGGCTCACATCGAATTTCGGACAGGCCCTAGATAATCCAACAGGAAACACAACATTTGTTTGGGTCACCAACGAGTTTTGCCAGATCCAAAAACCGTTTGGGCTCACCACTTGTAAGACGTAATATTTTCGGCCACTTTTGGCTGCGCAAATGCCAGCTGCGAGGTGTGCAAGCCAGCTGCCTGTGCCGGTCCTTCGAGTCCATGGTTGAGCTTTCTGAGGCGACTCGCGCGCTCGCGAACTCGTGGCGACGCGTCGAGGACTCGTCGAGCCGTGTTTGCGCGCGACGAGGTTCAAGCATTGATCATCTTCCTCACTGAGGCCTGCGTGCCAAACAACGTGTACTAGACTACTGCTACAAATAGTATGTATATATATATATATATGTGCTGGTCACACACAGACACACACACACACACACATGTAGACCATCTATGTGTGTGCAAGCTTGCTATATGGGTATGGGTCAAAATTAAACCACCAGGAATTGGACCACAGGTTTTAGTCATTGCTTCCATTTACCAGGGTGCCATTTTGGGGTTACCCTATTTTTGACCCACAGCCATATGTGTATATGTAATGGTCACACGCACACACACACATGTAGACCATTTATGTGTGTGCAAGCTTGCTATATCGGTATGGGTCAAAATTAAACCACCAGGAATTGGACCACAGGTTTTAGTCATTGCTTCCATTTACCAGGGTGAGATTTTGGGGTTACCCTATTTTTGACAGCCATATGTGTATATGTAATGGTCACACGCACACACACACATGTAGACCATCTATGTGTGTGCAAGCTTGCTATATGGGTATGGGTCAAAATTAAACCACCAGGAATTGGACCACAGGTTTTAGTCATTGCTTCCATTTACCAGGGTGAGATTTTGGGGTTACCCTATTTTTGACAGCCATATGTGTATATGTAATGGTCACACGCACACACACACATGTAGACCATCTATGTGTGTGCAAGCTTGCTATATGGGTATGGGTCAAAATTAAACCACCAGGAATTGGACCACAGGTTTTAAATTAAGGGTGCCATTTTGGGGTTACCCTATTTTTGACCCACAGCCATGTGTATATGTAATGGACACACACACACACACACACACATGTAGACCATCTATGTGTGTGCAAGCTTGCATATGGGTATGGGTCAAAATTAAACCACCAGGAATTGGACCACAGGTTTTAGTCATTGCTTCCATTTACCAGGGTGCCATTTTGGGGTTACCCTATTTTTGACCCACAGCCATGTGTATATGTAATGGTCACACGCACACACACACACACACACATGTAGACCATCTATGTGTGTGCAAGCTTGCTATATGGGTATGGGTCAAAATTAAACCACCAGGAATTGGACCACAGGTTTTAGTCATTGCTTCCATTTACCAGGGTGCCATTTTGGGGTTACCCTATTTTTGACCCACAGCCATGTGTATATGTAATGGTCACACGCACACACACACACACATGTAGACCATCTATGTGTGTGCAAGCTTGCTATATGGGTATGGGTCAAAATTAAACCACCAGGAATTGGACCACAGGTTTTAGTCATTGCTTCCATTTACCAGGGTGCCATTTTGGGGTTACCCTATTTTTGACCCACAGCCATGTGTATATGTAATGGTCACACGCACACACACACATGTAGACCATCTATGTGTGTGCAAGCTTGCTATATGGGTATGGGTCAAAATTAAACCACCAGGAATTGGACCACAGGTTTTAGTCATTGCTTCCATTTACCAGGGTGCCATTTTGGGGTTACCCTATTTTTGACCCACAGCCATATGTGTATATGTAATGGTCACACGCACACACACACATGTAGACCATCTTGCAAGCTTGCTATATGGGTATGGGTCAAAATTAAACCACCAGGAATTGGACCACAGGTTTTAGTCATTGCTTCCATTTACCAGGGTGTTTTGGGGTTACCCTATTTTTGAGCCATGTGTATATGTAATGGTCACACGCACACACACACACATGTAGACCATCTATGTGTGTGCAAGCTTGCTATATGGGTATGGGTCAAAATTAAACCACCAGGAATTGGACCACAGGTTTTAGTCATTGCTTCCATTTACCAGGGTGCCATTTTGGGGTTACCCTGTTTTTTAACCACAGCCATGTGTATATGTAATGGTCACACGCACACACACACACATGTAGACCATCTATGTGTGTGTGTGTGTGTGTGTAGGCTCTGGCCGTTCGGCTGGATTGTTTTTGGGGGGCCAAGGATCTGGCAGATGTGGCAGCCGTGCGAGATTTGGTGCGCAGCATGCGAGAACTCGGCAAGGCCGAGCCGGGTTTGAGGAACGGGCTCGCGCGAGCAGGGCCTAGATCGAGCCTTGGGAAATGCAAGGCAAGAGGGCTTTTAAAGAGGCTACCGCTTCTTTCACCTCACATATATCATATCCAGGCACACCAACATAGTTTCCTTGGCAGTTTTCTTGAACATTTGCTCTCCAGCCAAACGGTTTTCCTTTTGGTTTCCCGTCAAAACCAACTCGAAACAGGAACTTGCACCCCAAAACTACCCATCAAGAGGCGTTATTACCCCAAACAGCGGTTGGCCCAAAAAAGGAGGAGAACCCGCCCCCGAAGCCGGCGTTCTCACCCCAAAAAACGGCCCTTTGGAGCCGCCCGCCCGAAGCCGGCGCAGTTCCTGGCGCCAGGCGGTGTTCCTGGTGGGCGACGGGCAGCTCCTGCGGCGCTGCTCCCACGCCACTCGCCCGCACAATTTTCGGTGGTCCGATGCGCGCGGAAGGAGAAAAAGGGAAGGACCCCATGAATAATTGGTGGTGGAGTTTTTTTGGGTTATTCCCAAGTTTTCCTACTGAGATGAAGTGGGTTTTAGCTCTACCATCATTTTAAGGCTCCTGCGAGGTCAGAAATGATCTTTTCATGACCCCATGCACCGTCCCTTGCTGCTGGTTTCCTTTGCTGGTGGATTTTTTTGTGGTCATTCCCAAATTTTCCTACTGAGCACCAGCAAGTTTTGAAAGGGACACTGTTCGATCGAAGCCCCCCCCCTCCCCCCCGGTTTTTTGTTGATGGACAAGGGAACCCTTTCAAGGGACACCTTTCAGGACACCGAAGCCCAGGTTTTTTCGATGGCGTTGGAGTCCGATTCCGATGTTGACAGCCAAGATTTGGGAGTCAAGGCAAAACCGCGAATGTTGGGTGTTATATGGGGGGTCTTTGGCACACGTGCCTGCCTAAGGAGTGCAATCTGCGCTATGTAGCCTTGCAAGGTGCGAGCCTTGAATTGAATGTTTGCGTTAAAGTAGGGTCCGAAAAAGGATGGTTTTCCCTTTCGGGTTCCAATTAAGCCACCCCCAAAGAGCAAAAAAGAGAGACTCACCTCTGTAGTCGCTGCAGTGAACTTGCGGCCGGTCATTTGATCTCCGAGCAGCTTCCTGAGGCTTGCGATCTGCCAACAGCACCGGGATTCCAAGTCCCAGCGTATGCCTTGCTTCAGTTGCAGTCGCAGAACTTGGGGCTGTCTTTTTTGAAGGGACCCTTTCTGAGAAAGTAAACATTTTTGCGGCTTCCCATGAACTCGTATGCCTGCGTATATGCGTATATGCGTATATGCGTATATGCGTATATGCGTATCTGCGTATCTGCGTATATGCCTGCCTGCCTGCCTGCTTGCCTGCCTGCCTGCCTGCCTGCCTGCCTGCCTTCCTGCCTGCCTGCCTGCCTGCCTGCCTGCCTGCCTGCCTGCCTGCCTGCCTGCCTGCCTGCCTGCCTGCCTGCCTGCCTGCCTGCCTGCCTGCCTGCCTGCCTGCCTGCCTGCCTGCCTGCCTGCCTGCCTGCCTGCCTGCCTGCCTGCCTGCCTGCCTGCCTGCCTGCCTGCCTGCCTGCCTGTTTGCGGGTGTTTGTACCAATGGATTCATCCTTTATGCTAAAATTCTGACTGCAAAGCAGGCTGCCAGACTGCTCTCCTCTCCGAACGTGCCTTTGTTTGGATTTGCATGGTGCTTTTGTCTGCTTTTAGCTTTCCCTATCAAATCTACTCGGTCATCCTCCTATGTATCATCATGGCTATGCGAACTGCTATTGATTCTCCCACGCAGCTCGCGGGAACCTTGGTGTTGCTGGCTGGCTCGTCTTGTCTAAAAGGAACACTGAAAGGGACACCAGCATTATTGGGGGTTGCCCCCCCCCAAAAAAGAGATACCCATATTTAAGCCGAGGCTTAGCTGTTAAAACTGAGCCATGCTCATTGAAGGTGCCAGACTCGGAAGGCTTTCTCGGCGAGGATTGTACACCAAGCGAATGGTTTTTTCTGGTAAAATTCCGTGGCCATGGTCTGACACCTAGCACCTTGGCAAGGAATACATGCCATTTTCAGCCTCTACATATGGTCTTGCGCCCTTTTATTGGAAGGCTACTGCTGAAAATCCTGCTTTTTGCCCAAAAAGATGGAGCGCCACTGCTTCGTCAACCCAGACTCCACCTGCGATCTCTGTTACATGCCGGGGAGCACAAGTAACTAAGTCGCAAGCTTGTTTGACCCCTCCTCTTCAAGCATCCAACTTGCGTTCGGGGGTTTGCCAGATGGACTCCACTCAGTCTGGCAACTTCGAAAGCGGGACGCTCAGTCCGTTGGCAAAGCACGCCGCTGGAGCCATTGCGACAGGTCCCGGCGACGGAGCCAGGCGCCCCCGGCAAGCAGAGCGGAGGGTTTGCTGTTGGCAGCCGGTTGGCTTCGTTTGTGCCAGCCTTTGGCCGTGACACGGCTGGGCAGGTCGGCCGGTATGACGGAAGACGACTGCCCGGGCCCGCAGTGGACCAGTGGACTGCAGCTGCTTCCAAAGCGGTTGGCAAGGTTTGGCTGAAGTGGTGGCCTCCTGTACGGAAGAGAGAGCCTCCGGGGCTTGCATCAGCGGCATCTCTGAGGCCAGAGGATTCACGAGTCCATTCCTGATGCCCAGAGGGTGTGTCCTTTTTATAGAGTTGGTCCCCCTTGTTTGTTGTTTTAAAGGGAATCACCAGGAAAACCTCTTTGTTTTTTTGGGGGGGTGCACCCATATGCCAGGCTGCGCTTGCTCGACTCTGCAGACTGCTTCAAGATGGCGGGATGGGAGTGCTGTATGCTGCTCTGACGAATTGGCTTGCCGCCTCTTGTTTCTTTCTGCTTGTTTTCACGTCGCATTTGAGCGACTTGCTCAAAACCCGGGTAGATGAAGGTTTGTAAGGGATACTCCCAACTGCAAATAGCTGCGGATATCCGCCTTCTTAATTCATGGCTCTGGGTAGGCCATCATACCGGGTTTTGATGACTCCTTTGGCTTTGAGCCGAGGCCTCCAGCCAATTGCAGCCCCAGCCGCATGGCCTGATTTGACCTCTCTTGCGACGCATATGGGTGGTCAAAATTGAACCACCATATGGACCGCAGGTTTTGGTCCATGTTTCCCCATTTACCAGGATTCCATTTTGGGGTTACCCTATTTTTGACAACCACAGCCATATGCTGTGAGTCAGTGAGAGCCGCGGCGTGTTCCCTGAGGTTCTTGCGAAGTATACCCAATCACAGCTCGCGGCCGAGGATCTCCGAGGCGCAGATGTGGCCACGGGTCATAGACGATGCCGATCCCATTTTGGGGCGGATGAACACCCATGTACTAATGTACCACCGATTTTTTGATGTTCACCAGGGGTACAGTGTTTTGACCCACAGCCATCTATCCACGCGAAATGATTCCTTTGGCTGGTCGCTGGTCTTTGGCAGGTGGTGTCGGCCTGCTCCACCTCGGCTTCGCGAGTGAGATCGCAGAGCAATGATACCTCCGCAGGGCTCCCAGCAAAAAGACAGCACGAAAAGACGAAGGGGTGTGTCATTTTGTTCGAATCGCCCCCCCCCCCCAAAAAAAAAAAAGAAAAGAAAGAAGATGGTGGCTCTCCTTTTGGTTTCCCTTTGCCAGAAGCCACGGGGCCCACGGGGAACCAACACACCCCAAACAAAAAATTCGCTGACTTCAGGTGGCACATTGGCCCTCTGCCAATACGCAAGAGGCCATGGAGCGAGCGCGCCTTTTGCGCGAAGCCGCGCGTCCAGCAAGCGGCAAGCGCCGGCCGCAAGGTGTGCATCAATGGGACCAAGACTTCTGAGACGGTGGAGGGCGAGGATTTTCTTTTTCAAGCGCGCGGGTGTTTGTTTGTTTGTTTGTTTGTTTGTTTGTTTGTTTGTTTGTTTGTTGTGTGGTTGTGCAGCTTTCAATATCGCCGGAGTGTCTCAAAATCGGGGACTCTGCAAATGGTCGCTTTCCTGTTGTTCTCTTTGTTAGACCGTTGAAAAGGGGGCTGCTGCATGCTTCTGCTTTGGGCAGGAGATGGGGCCGATGATGTCCAAAGCACTTTCTCCACTGGTGGACGCTTGGACGAGTGAAGTACTATGAATCACCATCGCAGCATGACTTGCAGCAAACAACTTTTAGAACAAGCATGTTCATTTGTCTCAAAATAGGGGGACCCCCCCCCTCCCCCAAAGTGGTTGGTTTCGTTTCAATTTTTTTCAAGCCCACCCAAACCTCACAGGAGACAGACCCATGTGGCCATGGGAACCCAAATCGTAGCCCAGTGAACATCCGATTCAATCCAACCACTAAAATAGGTCCTAAAACGGGTGGTGAATTCACCAATCCCAACCAAAATGGGATCCCGTTGAACGGTTTTGACAACCACAGCCATCTGTCCCAGCCGCTTTGGTGTTGACCCACGGCCATGTGTTTCAGCCTGCCTTCCAGGTGTCGATCAATTCCAAGGGCGTTTTGTCTGACTTTGCCAGCGTGGCAATTCAACGGTCTGGCGCCAAGCGGGAAGCGCGTCCACGTGAGCCACGTGCTCAAAACCGATTCGGGTAGATGAAGGTTAGTAAGGGGCAGTCCCAGCCACAAATAGTTGCGGCCGCCCTTCTAATTCTTTACATGGTTCTGGGTTCACCATTTTTGTACCAGGTTTTGATTGTGTCCGCGTGTCGAGCATGGCAAGCCTTTGCTTTCTCGTGCGGAGCGCTGCATGTGTCGTTTTTTTGCGGCGGCCCTTTGTGGGGGAGGCCCTAAGCCAGCCAGAAACCAAACCCAGCCCGCTGGTGATGCTGGGGGTGGAGTAAAACGCGTGCATTTTTTTAGACAATGCCGTTGTAATAGACAGCATTATAGCAACGGGGGTGACAACAAAGAAACCTGAAAAATGTAAACTCGACCCTCGCTTGAAAGGGAAACCAACATG